AGCTACCTGTAACAACGTATATCTTTAACGGGAACATTTGAATTGAGGAGCAGAAATTGACCAAATCAGTGTTCATGTACTAAGCAGGAACTCATAGACCAATATTTATCCTGTGTTATGGCTGTCAACACAGCAAGTACAAACGGAATTATCTTCAATGACAACAAAAGATGGTGGCTAAATAGGATAAATATAAGATATATATAACAGGATGCAATTTATAAGTTCATAGATCAGTAGTTTCCTAAAGAGGAGGGTAGAATGTGAAACCAAGTTACGTGTAAATTATGAATAAGGGACAAAATACTAATTTTAATAATAATAATAACAATAGTAATAATTCAATTATTCCTTATTTACTTAAATACTGAGCTCAACAGCCAGTGGCCAATTTCAAGGTCACGAACAACGTAAGCAACAACAAAAGATAAATTCAGGGAAAAATAAATATAAAAAAGTATAAAAATAAGTTTGTTTACATTTAAGCGAGAGTTTCTAAATATTCCTGTAAATTTACAAAACTCAGTAACAGAAGAACACATCCAGCTGAAGGGTAGGGGCTGGAGAAAGAACTGAACTTTATAAGTTACGTATGTTCGAGTAGGAATGCCAATTCCGACTCTTTCGAAGAGATGTACGATGGGTGCCACGCATGCTGACCCCACAACACAAAATGTAAAGAATGGGTCTGGCATTACAGCATCTCAATCGCTACTACGATGAAGGATACGATATGCTAGCCCGAAATGTCAAAGGTGATGAGTCTTGGGTTCACCATTACCAGCCCCAGACAAAGCTTGCATCAATGCAGTGGAAACATCCTGCGTCGCCTGCCAAAAAAAGTTTAAGGTGACACCATCCTCCAGGAAAGTGATGCTCACAATTTTCTGGGATGACGAAGGCATACTGCTCACCGCATTCCAGCCTCAAGGACAAACCGTAAATGCCAGCTCCTAGTATAACATCCTCAGGAAACTTCGTAAGTCATTCAACGGAAGCGACCAGGATTCCTCACCAAAGGCGTGTTGCTTTTGCATGACAACGCGCGTCCCCATACTGCCAACGAGACAAATGAGACGCTGCGAAATTTCAAGTGGGAAATCCTCGAGCATCCTTCGTATAGCCCCGATCTTGCTCCAAGCCACTTCCATTTGTTCGGCCCTCTTAAACATCATCTTTCGACTGAACATTTTCCCGATGATGAAGCTGTAGAAAAAGAAGTTACCACCTGGTTCCGACAGCAGCCCTAAGAATTTTATGCTGCAGGTTTTCAGGGGCTCGTGAAAAATGGGACAAGTGCCTCATTGTACATGGAGATTATGTTGAGAAATAAAAGCATTTTTCAAATCAATACTCTCATTTGTTTAAGTTCCATATCCATTTGTAACTTACTTATTGACTTACCCTCGTATAAGATTTACTATTTCGATAGTTTCAGTGGTTCTGATAATTGCAATACTAGAACATCAGAGAATAAATCCCGAAAACCACACAAGACGCAGATATACCAATATAAACCGAAGGGCTGAAAGTATCATGGGAGTCTGGTAAAAGTGGAAGAAGAATTTAGTCCTTTTGGCGTGAGTAGCCAAGATGTGATGCTGCTCAATATCGTGGACAAGAGGTGCGAGATCGCGCAGCGGTGCCGCAAGGTCAGTTCACATCACCATGACGATCGCAGGAGGATGTTTGTTTTGTCAGTAACAACTGAAGCTTGGTGGTGTCAAACGCAACTAGAAATACTGAGTTATTCCTGCTGAACGCAAAAGTCTGCCGCATTAATATTACAGGAACAGTTTATGGTTAACTGTTTTACGTACGCCTGTAAAGCACTAAATTAAGGCTGCTTTCCGATGAATGATGTACTAGACATTCTGTAGTAATTAAAGAACTTCCTTTCATCACTGCAGATATCTTCATGGAGTGTGTAGAATGCTCCCTTTCTAAGCCTACTTTCAACAACAGGGTGAACCCACAATTTTCTCTTCTTGTTCCTCTTCCTATATTTTCGTAGTATGTGCATAATTATAATGATTTCTTCTGGTTCAAGCAACAAACTGTAGTAACGCATTCCCTCCATCTGATTGACTGAGGACAACATCAAGGTCGGGTTCTGACGTGGGTGGGGTTCTGACGTGAGAGCCACTGAGTGTGCGTGTTGTGGCTTTGAGTGGCTGTGTCCCAGACACTAGTCGCAAGGCACCGTGTGCGCTGTCTGAAAGCGGCGTAAAACCGTGTGTGAGTAAGTGATTAGTTTATATTTGTGTAAAATCTGGAGGAAAAAGGTGAGCCCTTGTAAATGTTTATTTATTATATATATTTACTTACGTGTTTATGTTAAAAGTAACACGGTTTCTTTGCCGACAACAATTCCACTTGTAGCGTGAGAACTGTGGCCTAAGGAAATGCGTCTGGAAGAATATAATATGACTATATCCGTTCCAATTAAACAAAAAATATGGCCTAAACAAAGGGAAGCAGGAGATATTCGATAGACGTTATTCCATATTTTGTCACGTGTGCGTTTGTTGCTTTAGGCAAGTTCCATGGAATATGGGCATAGAAAAGAGGTAAGCCTAATTTCCGTATGACTAAGAGCAGGAAAATTCAACTATTTCCTTCTTCTGAGAAGGAATATTGTAAGTTTGTGACTGTGATTATGTCTGTATGTTAGAGGTTTTAAGGGGTAGAGCACTCACTTAAACGAGCAAAGAACTATCAGTCAACATATTGTCACGTGTGGGGGGTATGCGTGACGAAATGACGGGTTCTAGTTCCGATGACTGGATTTATTAACAGCTTGGTTACACGCACTCTTAGTTACACTTAGATACAGAGCTATCACTGATTTACATACACCTTATAATCCACTGCACCGTCGCACACATAAAGTCTTATAAATCTTGGTAGCTACCACTCTTGAGTGATGTCACAGCCTAGCGTGGAGGAGTGCTTACCGAGCGTCGCGTAGCGACGAGCTGGGTGCCGGTATGTGACTTCACAGAGTTGGCGCCTAGCAACGCGCCGATACAATCCGAAACTCACGTTGCGCGCGTGCCCCGAGGCCTCTGTGACTCAACAGTTTCTGCATAGAGCAAATACGCCACAGTATGTCCGAAAATCAATGCCCTTTCAGATATATGGGCAAGACAAATTCTAAGTGGACAGCTTAGATATTCAACTCTTTGGGCGAGGGCACACACCAAGGAAACCCGCAAACCACAACGCAACCGCATTTCCGAGCATTGTTATTAGACTTGGTTGAATACGTGAAATTGAATGGCGGAGAGTATTTTGAGGAAATGGCAACGCAATTCCCTCACAACACGCGGAAGGCTGAGGAACTCAACTTCCAGGCAACTGATTAAGCCAGTTTTCTCACAGTTGCGCTGCCGCTGAATTTCCTAGTGTCAGGTGTTCTAACGTGTTTCTGTGATTCACTTGCTTCTTTAGATAGCACGAAAGTTTGATGATGATGCTAATTTTGTTGTTGTGAAGTTAAATGAGCAGGAGCCTAGCAATATGACTAATGTCACGCAGTCTGTGCTAGACAGGACAAAATAAAATTAGCTTGGGAAAGAATTTTGTCGCACGAGATGAAGGAGTCTGGACCTTGGTTAAGTTCTTTCGAAACAATGTTAAAACCTGAGTTTAAATTTTCACGAAACAACGGATGCAACCAATATATTATATTCCTAATAGTATATTTAAGCATCCTGTTACAGTAATATATAATTTAATCACACATATTTCCGTCTTACATGCAACTTATTATCTAGTCATCCTTCTTCCACACTACATGTTTCGGCTGTATAGGACCATCATCAGGTGCCTTCTATCTTGCTAAAATTCTTGCACTAAAAGTCAGAAATTCGTATCGCGTGTGAACGCGATATTTTCTGATTAAAATAAATTGACCTTAATTGAAGTTAAATTAATTAACAGCCAAATTTGTTCTTGTGTTCGTCGTCTTCTCTTCAATATTATTATCTGGTATAGCAGAAAAGAAGCGCAAAAAAAATAAAAATTACAATTACGCGTTAAGTAGGACAATCACACACACTTGAGATGATGCGAGCTACAAATGAAACATAATTTTCCTCAGTGTGCGCCTGCTTATTTGCAAACCAGCTCCCTGCTTGAAATCTGTGACGTTTCTCTTGAGATGCGGTTGCGTTGCAGATGCTAGTTTCTTTGGTGTGTCCATGCCCTTAGGACCTGTTGTCTTACCTAACAGACTAACAGCTACAGTGTACCGTCGATATTTGTTAAACAAGTCTGGAAAATCTGCCTCTACATTTGATTCATGCATGATGGAGCAACGCCTCATATTTTCCACATTGTCAGACAGCAACAGAACCAGACTTTCGGTGAACAGCGGATAGGTTGCGGAGGCTTTCATGTAGCCTGCATGATCCTCTGATCGTAATCAATCGGATTTTTGGTTGGGGGGACACCAAGAAACTTTGGTTTATTCAGCGCTGTATTAAGGTATTAAGCAATGAGCAGAGAATATCTCTCAGGGAATTCGAGTGAGACCTGGAATTTTCGACAGAGTGTGCACCTCTGTATAACGAAGAGCTGAAAGTCTCTGCTCTCGGCAAAAATATCAATGTCATTGTGTGCTTTATATACTTGTACTGCAGTGCCTGCTTCTGGGTATTTGTTCGTGACATGACATTGAGAATTTGGTGATGCCAATATGTGTCCAGTATAATATGAAATGCAGATACTGAGACGTCCACCATCTTGGTGTACACTCAAGTTCACCACTTGTTTTGTTTGTTTTCGTCGCACAGCGCTGCACACACCCGCGGTCGGGCGGCAAACTTCGCCGTTTTCATTTTCGCCAAACTGGAGATGACCGTGAAAATACTACGCGAAGTTAAGCCCGTAAAAACCATACTCCAACATACGCTTATTTTTTATTCAATTTACTAAATCTAATTAAGACTTATAGCTGACTTGTCGTTTTGCCTTTACCACTCACCGCTTCCCACCACGGCGGCACGGTTTCAATCCCGGGACTGGTCAAGTGGGATTTGTGGTGGACAAAATGGCGCTGAGGCAGGTTTTCTGCGAGTACTTCGGTTTCCCCTGCCAGTCTTCATTTCACTAATTGCTCCACAATCACCCTCACCTATCATCTGGGGCTGGTACAATAGGCCAGAAGTGGCAGCAGTACAAGGGACTTAGACCCACCCCATTAGCAATAAGAAAAATACTGATATACATTGTCTGACAATAAAGTTCGCGAATTCGCCGCCGTGTGCTTGCCGTGGCAGCAGTGGACAGAAACCTCAGTATGGTTTTATGATGTTGGAATGTCAGCATGTCACAGCTGTGTTGTTGATGAACTGCGGTAGTCTCTATCGGAATGGTGTCTATTATTGTCTGAGTGTGTTTTCATGTGCCGTCACGAGAATGTCGGAGCTTGAATTAAAATTCTTGTTAAAATTGGCAAGAGTGAAAACGAAATCAGAGAGATGTTAATGCAAGTTTACGGGGATAATTCTATGAAGAAAATAGCAGTTTACATGTGGGTGATCGGTTTTTCTAAGTGAAGAGGAGGTGTCACTGACGAGGAGAAATCAGGACGGCCAGCAAAAAGCAGAACTAAAGAAAACATACAGAGATACTGGGTTTTGGGTCTTTGTCCATCGTCCGGATTCTAATTAACTAAGAAAAAACACAATGTTTCGGAAACTGGATCTGTTTCCAGGTCCAGTGATTGAGGCTAGCTCTTTCTAAGGGACACAACGGAGTCGATGTCTTCCCTCACCTGAGCACGGAAACAGATCCAGTTTCCGAAGAGTGATTTTTTTTTTTAGTTATTTAGAATCCGGATGTTGGACAAAGTCAGAAAATCCAGTATCTCTATGTGTTATATACCATCGTCATAACCCTATATTATCTACTTAAAGACAACATTCCTAAATTTCGTAAATTTGTTCGTGAAACTCGTCTGATGAATTTCAGGAAGTATTGAAAAGGCTGCGTGAAAAGTTAGACAGAAACAACCCGAAATTTTGCCACCAACTCATGGATCTTGCATCACGAAAATGGACGTGCTCACACGGCACTGTCTGTGAAGTTCTTTTCGCTAGTAAACAAGTAACTGTGCTGGAAAGCCCATCCTATTCACCTGCTCTAGCCCCAAAGACTTTTTGTATTCACGAAGATAAAGGAAATGTTGGAAGGAAGGCAAAATGATGACGTTGATAATATCAAGAATAATACGACGGAAGCTCTTAAAGCCAGTTCACCAAACCAGTTCTAAAAATTGTTTCGAAGGGTGGACTAGGCACTGGCTTCTGTGCATTGCTTCCCAAGGGGAGTACTTTGAGGAAGACCAAAGTGATACTGACAAATGCGGCAAGTAGAGTTTTTACCGCATAAGTTCGCGAAACTTATTGTCAGTCCATGTTTATTACGATCCCAATAAGTGTTCATTTTATATATTTACCCTATAATTGTATATATCTCAGTTTTGTTCAAATGTATTTTACAGTCGACTTTTCTAATCTGACGTAATGAATTTTTCAACAGGCCGGACCTTTACACGTTCAGCAGAGTGATACTGACAAGTATGGGGTTGCTGTTTGAGTCACTTCTTCTGGATGTGGGGATCCTGGTGGCTTGTGTCCTCTCAGTGGTTTACGCCTATTCCAAGTGGTCATTCTCTTACTGGAAGAAACGTAATGTACCGTATGTCGAACCGTGTTTCCCATTTGGAAATTTCGGGGAGGTGGCTTTGATGCGGAAAGATTCCGGATATTTAATCAGAGACATTTACACAAGGCTTGAAGGGCACAGATATGGAGGAATGTACATGCTCAACATTCCGCTATTATTCCTCCGAGACCCTGATCTAATAAAGGATGTACTAGTTAAGGATTTCACTACTTTTCATGATCGTGGTGTCTATATGAATGAAGAAATAGAACCTCTGGCAGGGAATTTATTTTCATTACCCGGAAAGCGATGGAGAAACCTTAGGGTCAAGTTGAGCCCAACTTTCACATCCGGGAAGTTGAAAATGATGTTCCAGAGACTTGTAGAATGTGGAGACGAACTGAAACTGTGCTTGGAAAATATTGCGGGAAGGGGAGAGGTTATTGAGGTCAAGGACATTTTGGCTAGGTTCAGCACGGACGTAATTNTACATGCTCAACATTCCGCTATTATTCCTCCGAGACCCTGATCTAATAAAGGATGTACTAGTTAAGGATTTCACTACTTTTCATGATCGTGGTGTCTATATGAATGAAGAAATAGAACCTCTGGCAGGGAATTTATTTTCATTACCCGGAAAGCGATGGAGAAACCTTAGGGTCAAGTTGAGCCCAACTTTCACATCCGGGAAGTTGAAAATGATGTTCCAGAGACTTGTAGAATGTGGAGACGAACTGAAACTGTGCTTGGAAAATATTGCGGGAAGGGGAGAGGTTATTGAGGTCAAGGACATTTTGGCTAGGTTCAGCACGGACGTAATTTCGTCCTGTGCTTTCGGTATCGAGTGCAATTGCCTGAAGAATGAAAACGCGGAATTCAGACAGTGGGGAAGAAAAATTTTCCAACCATCAATCGGACAAATAATCATTGGAATTTTATCAAATACTGCACCAGTTGTATTAGATAAGCTAAAATTATCTACTCTTGATTCAGATGTTTCCAAATATTTCCGCAAAATGGTGCAGGAAACAGTTGAATATCGCGAAATGAATAACGTGAAGCGCAATGATTTCATGCAACTGTTGATACAGCTTAAGCAGAAGGGCAGCTTGGACTCCGAACAGGGAGCTGAGGACCGAAGTGACGAAGAATTCAGTGGAACTGGTGAAACAGCGGATGGTATGTACACACTCAAATAGAAAGTAAACTTAAATAACTTTAGCGTCTATGTGCATTTACTTTTACGAAACTGGGCTTAATACTAATATATTCAATTTACGTAAGCCTCAAGCGATAGCACCTACTTCGCTTTGGAGTCTCCACCAAATAACCTTCATATACGAATGGGCTACTTTTATAAAACAAAACTCAAGAGAAGAAGCAACTCGCTACTGATGCTTGAAAGGGGGTATTATTAAACCAATGTCAGAGAAAGAGATTTTGAGGATGTGAACTGGATTTAGTTGGCTCATTACTTAGTTAGAGGTAGCAAACGCTATAATACAGCTTTAAGCTTCATTTACAATGTATTCGTTGTCAAGTTGAATATTGTAATTTTTAGGGTGGTGCACGTGACGAAATTAACGGATTCTAGTTCGGATTATTGGTTTTATTAACACTCCGGTTACACACTCACTGTCTCTCAATTACAATTGGTGCAGCGCTATCGCTGTTTCTACATTTTATAATTCACTGCTAAACACAGAATCACACACACACTATTCCTCTCCTGATAACGCAATTAAAACTCAGGAACTAGCGCTTCAGATCACTCCAGATATCACTGCACTACAGCACACATAAAGTCTTCAACGTCCATTAACAATTCAATGAATCCTCACAACTCCTTTCCATGACGACTTCGTGTCCTTGACTCACGGGTTCTCGACTATGACTAGCTACGACTCGTAACTGCCCTGAATTCAGTTCTATTATAAACATTCTGCACAGACCCCACGAAAACACCTATAGTTATAGACGTGTTTACATTTCGGTTTTTTAGAAAGGGGTGCAAAACAACGTTGTTCTGTTGTTCCTTCCCACGGACGACATAGAAAAGAATCTCCTGTATTATTGCGTAACCTAGCAACGGACTGCTTATCAAAATTTGTTTTCGCGAGAACTCATTTACCAACTTGTTACCTAGTATTGGGTGTACATATAAGAAATATTGTTATGTGGCTAGGGAATACACTGTAACACGTATTTGCTTAATTCCAAGTTTCCTTGATTCTGCTGCTTTAATTCATTTAATTAATGAATTATTATTAATTTGGTAACATAAAATGATAGTTACGCTTTCAACACAACTGCTTTCGCTGTTTACTTAACTTAAATTTGTCGCCGACATATAGTGAACGGCTACATAGCAGGAAAGATACATTTACGATGCAACTCTCTGCAGTAGTGTGGGAATATGACGGAATTCCCAAGAACATGCCTACTTAATTAGATCAATTACTGCTAACTCCTTTTCTGCCGTGCAACAACTCAAGAACTTCCCAAAATTTTATGGAGCCCGAAGCCCCATTGCCTTGATCAAAAAACCGAACGCATCCAATCCCCAAGATCCCCTTCCTATTTCCCTAAGATCCATTTTAAACTTATCCTCCTACAAACGTTTCAATCTTCCAAATGGCCTCCTTCATTCTGGCTCTCACACCAAAACCCAGCATGAATTTTTATTTAATACCATGTGTACTACATTCCCTGCCAATCTTATGTTTGTTAACTTGAACATTCTAATAGTATAATTTTGTTAGTATGGTTAATTTAATTAGTTAATTTCCTGTGATTCAATATTTGACGCCTTCACCATTACATTTTTGGAATTATTTAAATAAAAATTATCTAGTGTAACAAAAGTTCCAGTACACAAACTGATACTACACAAAACCGACAGGACAACGTGACGCTTCTAAATGAAAATAACACGAAGAGCTTAACAACACACAAATAGAGAAGAAAATACTATGTGTAACAGTGTTGGTGTACAGTGTACAGTTAAGACTTAATTGATTATATTCCTAATGCAAAAATTAAGACTTTTACTAGTCAATTTATAAATGTGAACAATATTTTAAGATCTGTAACGAGTGTAAAGCGAAATTTATTCAATTTCCATGCTTCTTGAAATGGTTCCAAAAGACCAAAACACGCAAGTGGTAGAATCATTAAGTTCGTGTAATGTGGTTTTATCGCATCATATTACAAGGTATTCACATACACTTACGCAGATCCACATCGGTCCTCAAAATAGTTGCCGTTGGCTGTTACGCAAGTCTGCCAATGTTGATATAGTTGAAGAAAACACTGATGAACATATTTGCAGGAAATTCACGTACGACGCTTTGCGGCCATTCCACGAATTTATTGATTGTGATAGTATGTGTATATGTATATATAATCCGATCTACTCAGTTAAGTTTGTTACAATGGAGAGCTTAATATTCCATTAATGTCTCAGGTAGCTGGTTTAGCAGATTGGCTGATCAGCAAGTTTCTGAACTGTACAAATATGTACCACTCTACAGGTCTCTCGATGAACTCCCTGGCTGCCCAAGCTTTTGTCTTCTTCTTTGCGGGTTTCGAGACATCCTCGACTACCATGACGTTTTGCCTGTACGAGCTGTCAGTAAACCCAGACATACAGGAGCGCCTGCGCACCGAGATCAACACGGTGCTGGAGAAACACGACGGGAAACTCTCATACGAAGCCGTCCAGGAGATGAGCTACTTGGACAAAGTTGTATCAGGTAGGGCAAAGGGCACGATATTCTCTCCTACTCTTGTCTGTGTGTTGTATTATAAGATAATTTTACAAGCGTCGGTCTTTCCCACACTGAAATGATGGCCACGGACTGTACTACCAGGAACCGATCCCCGAGATGAGAGTCGAAATTGTTCTTTGCACCACCGCGTTCAGCCTACTGTTTAACGGATATGGGGCAGAAGGTTCTTTCCCCGGTAACAATTCAACCGATGTGGGAAGCGGTTCGCCTGACCTTTGCAACTGGGCTTGTTACAAATATAATGAATGGCAAGCGCTGGTGTAACATGACTGACTGCATATTCTGCTATAAGCCAACTACATAAGTATTAAAATACAGTACCTGCTTTATAGTAATTGTTCAGTGTCCTCCGCCAGCTGCAATGCAGTTTTCGGCATGCATCATGAGGGATTGGGTAGCAGAAGCAATGTTGCCTGAATGGTGACGTATGTGCCCTGCCGCTGCAAAAATACGATTCCGCAGTGCTTCTCGTGAATCGACCTTAGTTTCGTAGACTAAGGTCTTCATGTGGCCCCAGAGGTAATAATCTAGAGGCGTAAGATCTGGCGACCTCGGTGGCCATGCAACGGGACCACCACGACCTATCCAGCGGTTAGGGAAGGATTCATCTAAGTAGTGTCTCACGTGCTGAGTATAATGTGGAGGAGCCCCATCATGTTGGAAGTACATTTTCCTCCTTATCGTTAACGGGATGTCTTCCAACAAACATGC